AAATAGTACGAATAAATAAAAACTAGCTTTACACAAAGTAATAACAAACAAGTGCTAGCGTAAGTGCGACACTAAGTTCAGAGCATGAAAGCCTAATGCAGTCCAGGAGAAAACGACGCAACAAAAGCACACCCGAAGATGGTCCTACACTGGTGATCGCCTGTCAGAGATGTCGGGGAAATCCTCAGGGAAACCACCAAACGTGCTAGCCAACTAGAACCTAGAGGGGCGCAAAACAAAAGCGTGAGTGGGCAAAAACAAAGCTTTTCGAAAACCATTTAATAAATAAGTTCTAACCCCTCGCCGTAAAACCTGTATACTTCCCAGAAAATAGAATATATACATATATATATAATTCATGCTCAGGAATATGCTATGCCAAAACCTCAAACTAAAATGCAAGTGCTCATGTAATATCGCATCAATATCATATAATCTGTCAGCCGAAGTCACCTAACGTGACCTGTACGGCTGAATCTAGAGCTCAAATCTCCATCTCACTAGCTATACCTGCACACGAGTCGGAACCACCTAAAGTGGTCTGTACGACAAGCCTGGGTGTAACATATATATACGCTCAAGTGCTACAATCACGTGAAGGCTGGGCGAATAATCGCGGGTCACCTACGAGTCGGAACCACCTAAAGTGGTCTGTATGACAGGACTGTGCACCTAACTTGGATTCAAGCTGAGCGTGTGGTGCGGGAGGTGAACATCACGTGAAGGACTGTGCCCAACTCTGGGCGGGAGCATTAACACCAGGGGTGCAGGTTATGAGCTCTCCATGTATCTCAAATCACTACGGAAAGTAAACATGAATCACAACTCACCTGGCACTTACCTGTGCGTCCGCAGCACTAAACATGCATATATATATAAACAATTAACAATGCATAAACAACGGCAAACTAGGCATGGCATATAAACGAATAAACGTTCTAATTCAATTTCTGGGAAAAGTATAAGTATATAGGTATATACGGAAAACCAAAAGCCCACTCACTGGTATGTGGAAGGGTCGTAACCCTCCTGCCTCGAGTGACCACGCTCGTCCTTGGGATAGGTATCACCTATGTGCGAAACAACTATAAAAACGTTAATTTTAAAGCACATAACCAATCTTAAGAAATAACTTCTCATACAATGCTCAAATGGGGTGTATGAATACACCAACGTGATCTACTCAACCTCAGGAAAATCCCCATATTTTTAGAAAAAATTTTCACCGCTGCACGTGCCCCCACGCGCCGGCCAAGGCACGGCCACACGCGCCGGCCAAGGCACGGCCACACGCGCCGGCCAAGGCACGGCCACACGCGCCGGCCACGCGCAGGCACGTGCCTGGCACGCTGACGGCATCAGGAATATTCCGTTAACTTTAACGGATTCCGTCAACGGCGTTAGGAATATTCCGTCGTCTTCTCCGGCGAGGCTCCGGCGCCGGAAAATTGGGAAATTTTCAAATCGTTATATCTTCTTCGTTTTTCAACCAAATTTCACAAAATTGGTACCAAATTGAAGCTTACAACGAGAGGAACAAAATCATACCACTTTCAAGTGCTAAAATCCACGAAATCTCGCCGGGAAAATACCCCCAACTCCGGCCAACCTCGAAACTCGCAATCCCGACATCCAAAACCTTCAAACGAACCACCCCGAGCCTCCTAAGGACCTCACCAAGCTTCCTACAAGCTTGAAATTCCCAAAAACATAAGAATTTACGTGTGCATGAACAGTACCAAAAATCGTGTATCCCGAGTTCGACGTGAAAACGAAGGTATCCTTACCTGAAATGGGTATGGTTGAACTCCAATGGACCTCATGAACATGGATATGTACTTTGTTTCTTCGATCTGTGAAAATTTGGGTGGTTTTGGAGTGTGTCCGTACACATGGGTATGAAAATGGGAAGCGAAATGGCACGGGATGGGTGCAGGGATAAGGGAAAGGGTGAAGGGAAGGTGTGGGGAAAAATGTGTGGTGCAAAACCAGCCACACCAAGCTCAAAACAACCACACAACGTAAAAATTCACGCTAGGGGAAAAATTGTCTTTTCACACGTACGTTTTAAAAATTTTCGAAACGGGCTGTCACAAAAACCGCTTTTGATAATTTAAAAATGTTATTTCAAAAGCACTTTCATTTAACCTCACACATTAAAAAAAAAAAAAATGTACAAGAGAGTAATAATTACTTTATTTGTAAGGAAGATATATTATGTATGCGTGTTATGAAAATTCTAACTTTCGATCTCAACAACAATACTAGGATTAATAAAAAAAATTAATACTAGCCGGTGTTCATAATTTGATTGGAATAGATACTCGCTATATTGAATACCAAGACTTGATTCTCAAAAGCTCAATTTATTTTTCCAGCTGAAAACATAAAACGTTGATACCATAATTTAATTTATTTTTTAATAATTAAATCATATGTTTGTTGATGCCATTCATAACACATGACCTAGAATGTTCATCTGAACTTCGAATCCAGCTGTGTTGACCGACACTAAGAAGGTGACAAAACCATAAAAAGTGATGATGTGAAAAATATGAATACATTTAAACCTAAAAGTGACTAAATGCAAGAGTATGCATGTGAGCGGAATTGAATCCATTTTACATATGATGTTAGAGCATAAGTAAAGTATAGTAAAATATGAATAAGAATGCGCATGTGGCGAAATTGTATTAGTAAAGTATATTAAATGCAAAAGTGCGCATCAGAGCATAAGTAAAGTATATTAAATGGTTGCTTGAAAATATGTAAGAGTGCATGTGTGCAAGATTGAATCAATTCACCTAGAAACGAAACTATTTACGTAAATATATAACGTACTAATGTAAATTTGCATATTCGTACAAAATATGACTAATAAATGAAGTATTTTAAAACAATTGGATTTCGAAAAAGGGAGGGTGGATTCGGGTTTAGAATGTGAAAAAAAAGCGGGACCTTGGGTTCCACCACACGCTGTCACAAGATGGCTGCACGCGCCGACCACCCACACGTGCCCATGCGCCTACGAGTTCAGGCGCACTCGCCTTCCTTGCGAACCACAGGTTTTGCCAGTTTTTTAGGTCGATTTCCAGAGCTGATTTCTAGTTCAATTTTCAACCAAAATCAATGCTTCAAAAGCCAAAATTAAGGTAGGAATGTAAGGACTAGATCTATCCAATTCGAGGCCAATTCATGGTCGGAGTTGACGGGAAAAATGGCCTGAAAGTGGCCAGATGGTCACGGATTCTTGCTGGAAAAACTGGGGAATTTCTTCCTCCGAGTTATTTCAACGTCAAACCTTCACCAAAACGCCTGAACTAAGTAACACATCAACAATTTCGAAGAGAGGCAGTTAAAATCTAGTGTTCTCGAACCTTACCTTCACTAGAATCAACGAGATCCTCGTCGGGAAACCACAGCTCCTCGCTGGAGCTCCTTGGCTCGACGGCAGCAGTTGGGTTCTCGAGGTGGCTAGAGAGATTTGGATGTCTGGGTTGTGGGACTCGCCAAAGTAGGTGAGGTGGTGCTGCTGTGCGTCTATGTACAGAGAGAGAAGGGACAAAAGAGTTAAGAGAGAAGGAGGGAGTGTTTTAAGAAAGAGAACTGAGAGTGAAATGAGAGACAGTTGAGAAAGATGAGAGAGTCCCCGAGAGTTCTGGAGGAAGGGGACATGGGGACAAAGCAGGAGTGGGATGTGTGCCATGTGGCTCACAAAACAAAACACAAAATATCTTTCCAACATGAAATTATCAATTTGTCCTTGGTATTCGGTGCTCTGTAAAATTTCATTATAGTCCCGAATTCAATTCTGTTTGCACTTATGTATTCGTATTGTCAAATACTATGAGAGTATACATGTGTGTATCTTTGGGTCAAGCCCAAACAATAATTAATTAGGCATGAGATTTAATTAATAAAATATTAACGTAGACGGGCCTACTTGCCCACTTGTTTAATGAACTCAACAAATAAGCTATAGATGTTACGGTCTCCAGCCCGCAATACCAATACCTCATTGTTGTCTTGATTAAAAAGTAATAAATTCCCGAGAGTGAAAATTATTATTTTGCCCCTCATTGGGAAACGTGCATAAATAGTATGATTTACGTTCGTTTGTGCTTACATGCTCGTAAGAACTCATTTTACCTAAAAAGATGTGCAAAGGAACAAAGAATGTCAAGGACTCGAATGTCTACGTAGGAATTCCACTTCATCCGTCAGGAACATAATCTTAATTTTCTGAAGTTAGAGAATAAAATAATATTAAATCTGAAACGGGATATCACAATTCATATTAATCAAATATCGTATTTAACAGGATAGTTTTCGTATTAGACTAAAAGAAAAAGATTTACGATGCATTTGAAAAACTAGAAACGTATGGTTCACATGTCCAATCATTTCTCTTTGCTTTTCTTATGTTTTTCGTTTAAAGACTAGTAAAAACCTTAATTAAAGATTACTGCCATCCAGGAAAAAAAAAAAAATCAATATATACGCGATCTCCCATCTAGAATTCCCATCGGGATAATAATGTAAAACTTCATTTCAATATAATATATTATCAGCAAAGATAAGTATTCGGCAATACAACGGATATATATATTATAACTAATTGAAACGTTAGTAATCATAACTATATACACCTCATAATTATTATCAAAATTTATTTTCGAAACTCGAAAGTATATATTATCATAAAAAAATTCAATTTCGAAAATATATCCTCTGATGACCAATCAGAGCTATAGCTAGGGTTTTATCTCAACATATCTAAATTCAATTTCGAAAATATATCCTCTGATGACCAATCAGAGCTATAGCTAGGGTTTTATCTCAACATATCTAGTAAAAACAGGAGTTTGTTATTTAAATGTGTTCCAAAGCAGAACTCTTACGCAAAAACACATTTTCTCAACGAGAGAAATTAAAAGAGAGAGAAGTAGTCAGTCATACTTACGTCTTTGTCAATGTCTTCTCCCTCAAAGAGTCCAAGTATGGTGCCTGTTGGGCAAAGTCATCCGCATCACAAGGCTTCTGTTGCTACTATTACTCAACAGGTGGCTTCTTATAGCCTTAGCCCTAAGAAGCAGTCACCTGCACAAGGTGATCAAGGTCAATTCACTCCGGCGAACGAGAGTGGTGCTTCTTTGACAACCAACGTGTCCGCTGCCGCTGATGGCGCGGATCATGATCTTTCAGAAGACGAGGCAAACAGTTTCAATAACAACCTGAAAAAGGATCAAGATGAGTTTTTCAATTCCTTCCCACCTGGCTATAGGTTCAACCCATTTGATGGTGAACTTGTTGTGCATTATCTCATGAAAAAAGTCTTGGATCTGCCCTTGCCGCCCAACCGGATCTTTGAAGTTAACCTATACCGCCACAATCCCGAAGTGCTTGCTGGTATTGTATATGTTCATAAATATATCTGGTTCAATTATATTTTGAATTAATAATCTTTCAAATGGTGTATATATATGCGAGAGAGATTTTATGAACAAGTTTTGCTGGGAAGCCAGATCAATGTTATTTAGTACTACTTTGTCATCCTTTACTTGTTTTAACAAAGGTTTGATATACGATTGCTATGCATTTAAACTTGAATGTTATAATTGATTAAGGTCCTTATAGTACTACTTTAGTTAAAGTGTAATTACTTTCTTCATGTTAGTTTTGCTTAATTTGTTTTTTTTGTCATTCACTATTTGATTAACACATCAAAACTTTTCACTTTAATCTGAGATTTGATTAAACTTTAGTTTACTTAAAATTTTGTTTGATATATTTATGTAATTGGTGAAACTTTTAGATGATCAGAATTGATTACCATATAATAAATCTGCATCGGTTTGTGTAAAACAGAAAAATATGAGAAATATGGGGAGAAAGAATGGTATTTTTTTACTCCAAGGGACCGGAAGTATCGCAATGGAAGTCGCCCAAAGAGGGCAGCTGGGGATGGATATTGGAAGGCGACTGGAGCTGACAAGGGAGTGAAATCATCTGATGGAGCTGTTGTTGGATGGAGAAAGGCTTTGGTTTTCTATAGGGGCAAACCCCCAAAGGGTGACAAGACCAACTGGATCATGCACGAGTTTCGAGTCAAGGATTCTCCTGTTCGAAGAAGAAGGGGTGAGAATGACATGAGGGTACGTAAATTCTCAATTTTTCTATATTAATTGAGTTCACAATGTTTTGAATATACAAGCATCATACAATTTTGGACCTGCATTCCATATGTGTGCGTATATATATCTTCAAATGCATGTACCAAATATACAAGGGACTCGTATTAAAAGTCAGTATAATGAAAAAACATGGATTCCTTTGTACCCGGAAAAAAGAACGGTATCCTTATATAAGATTTTTGGTGCTTATAAAACTACATTTCATGTTTTGCAGTTGGATAATTGGGTACTCTGTAGAATTTACAAGAAAGACAAAAATGGCAAAAGATGTGATAGTCGAAATCATGCTGAAATGATTTCTCCATTTTCGCATAGAATGAATGACGAAATCATGGAGACTGAGATGAGGGGCGATATTGTTGATCCTTTACCTGAGTATGATCCTGCACTGGAGTATGACCACAAATACTCAAATAAAGCATATTCCCATATGGCATCCCTGCCAAACATTTGGGGAAGGATCCCAGTTAACATGATTTGCAATAATCAAATTCAATCAGTTGATGCAGCCTCTATGAATGCTAGCTGCTATGCAAATATGGAGCACTCGCAACCACTATGTGTTAGACCTCCATCGATGTCTTCTGAGAGTGTTCTCGGGCCTTATAGATATATAGATGAATCAATTATACTTCCAGATGACATGATGTTCGACATGAAGGGGTTTGGACATAGCCTTTACAGTACAAATAATTATGCAGCGCAATTCTCATCTTTGGATCATGTTTTTCCTTATACGGAGTAACATCCTATCGTTGATCTGTGGCACTTGTCAACTTTTGTTGCTATCATCTGCTTTTGTTATGAATTTTAGGGTTTAGGTCGGATTTAGCTAGTCAGTTAGTCTTTGGAATGAGTTTGTTAGTAGCTCTCAACCATCTAACGGAAGTATATTAAGGTTTATATATTATGCTACTTGGATTTATCTATGATGAAGGTACTTTATTTGTTTTTATATTAATATTTACTGCTTATTTGCTATGAATTATGAATTCCAAATGTAAAAACAATTTACAAAAGATGCCCTGCACAAAAGCGCAATACTATATGGGCGGAAATTATTCATAGGTGAATTTCGCAACATGAGCGAAATTCACTTATGGATTTTCTGGTCATGTTCGGCACTTACACACCATCAATGCTTAGCCTTCTTGACACCTCATGACATCAGGGTTTATCCATCTTAGGTAAGATTTCTCCCTCCTAGGTATTTTGTCCCACTCGGTCTGTCTTTCTATGCCTCACAAGGCTTACAAAAATGTGCAGAGGAGAAATCCCATGTATGGCCAGTTTTTAGTTATTATTTTAGCTTCTGTTTGGTTGCTAAGGAAGTTCAGGTGTTTGGTTATTATTTTTTTTATTTTGACAAAGGATAGAAATGTATTAATAATCAAATAGGAATGGAAACATTTGCATCTTCTGCTAGAACATTAAACAAAAATTCAAGTTCTAATTCATCCCAACCAAAGTTCCCACTATGCTTAAGAATGTACACCGCCACCATATGGGCTGCATGATTGCATTGTTGAGGGGTAAAGATAAACTTCACCGATTGGAATGACTGCATCATATTCCAAATATCAACTAAATAGACCTCCATCAACACATCAGCTTGAATCTCCTTATTTAACATTTGAGCCAAACCTTTCGAATCAGACTCCACCTCCAATGCCTCCCCGGACGCATGAAATCCCCTTAAAACACACATCTCCAGACCCTGTGTTATGGTTGCCACCTCAGCCATATTTGACGACAAGAAATACTCCCCACCATTTCCTCCCACCATCTTTGAGCTTGTACTAGGCTCTATGGGCTCAAAAAGTTTAGGTATTTGGCTATTTTCTTTAAGCATTAGTGGCAGATCCAGAATTTGAATATTGGGGGGTCACATTGTTAAAGGTCTAAATTTTTTGATAAAAATAGAACTTGAAGTGTGCAAAAAAAATTTCAGTTATTCATTGAGACATTTCGTTGAACACTTGATAGACTTGTTGTCGTCAGGCAAACCATGGTCTGCACCTGCCAATTACAGATATCAACATATGCTGAAGCATATTGATGCGTGTTATCCAGAGAATTTGTCAAGTGCTCTCAGCGCAACTTGCCGAGTGCTGTTGAGATTTGCCTAGCAGGCATTAAATCAACACTTGGTGGGCACAAAAGAAACCCATACCAAACATTCAAAGGGTCTTGAGAAGACCTTCACATGTATATTTTTCGGACTCCGGGTATACCTTGATCCCAATGTATATCTACCTGCATTTCATGTCTTCTAGCTTTCTACTTTTATTAGAGAGGTGGTAAAAATATAGTATAAAAAATATAGTAAGTTTATCATTACATAATTTTAACATATACTTGTTCGTAATATACATGACAAAAACTACCGTATGATGACAGATTGAGGCAATACAAGTAAGGTAAATCGATCCTAGCTATAGTTTATTTTAAAACTCGGAGTTCTATCCCTTCTCACTTTTATTACAGAGATGATCATCAATGTGATCAACAATAATGATCCAAATAACTTATGTTATTCACTTATCTCATACTCATCTCACCCCACCCCACACGTCACTCCATCTGAATTGTGCGGAGAGTCAATAAGCTTCACGTAGTATAAAAATAAGTTTGGTAAATTTTTTATTTGATAATGCTTGCATTCTCATTTGGGGATGCGAATATTTCTTCACTTGCAAATAACTTATTTTTACCGTATAAATTTCATAATCGTAACTTTTCAGTCTCTTAATCTTCATTTGAAGATCATTTCTACAAAAAATCATTCGAATTTGACATTGTTTAGTCATCTAAATGCATTATAAAAATCAACGGTTCATTAGGAATATATTATTTGGTATCTACACTACAAGAAAAATGATATTTAATGACAAATTTTATGGCGTTTCAGAAAAACATGTCATTAATGTATATAACAATGACGTGTTTGAAATTTGCATCATTAAATATATATATATATATATATATATATAAAGGAATTTAATGACATTCATAAGAGCGTCTCCAATGCAAAGACTTGACGCAGTAGGCATCCACCATTTTTCGGCAAAACATTGGAGTACATGAGGGAATTTCTCAAGAAGTATTCCGTTAATGACTTATACGACCTTCCCAAAGAATGCCAAGAATTTATTGATTTGGCTTTAACCAGCCTAGCCGTTAAGCAAATCATCCAAAAGGAATCTTATTCGACCATGAAAGCCAGGTTCCAGTACATACGAGAAGTCAGGGTGTTGGGATTCAAGGTAGATCCATATGTTGACTTAGACCCCATAGAACTACCTCTCTTTGGATGACTTGCAATATCTTCGTGGTCATTTTCAAGTATTCTCAGCTGTTTCTTTGTTTGGCCTCACTACAGAGGAAACAACGTGAGTGGAACGTTTGCATCATATCTTGATGTTTGAAATGCCAAGATTGCTTTCCAACAACAACTTTCTAAGGAAGCCCAAGCGGCAGTTGTCAAAACTAGCTAGAGGCTGACCGACAAGCAAGCCATTCTAGAGTTTGCCACTGATAATACTGGCAATATGCCTAAGGCTAGTACTACATTTGCATCTAGTTTCCTAGACGATTCGGTCATGCCTATAGTTACAGGGATTACGGTTGTCCCCGCGAATGACGATGAGTCAGATGGAGACAAGGGGGCAGACACCAATTTGGCTGATGAGGAAATTACCACAATGGGGCCTTCAGTCCTCGACAACATGGAAATCAGCATGGTCCATGTTCTTTCCCCTGAGTTCTAACCAGTAGCACATTAGCCAAATTTCTTAGAAGGGGACGTGACAGTCGAAGAATAGACACAAGTTGAATTTGTCATGGTCGTAGAGCCAAAAACAGCTAGCCATGAAGATAAACTTAAGGCTGCCTTAGTTGAACTCTTCTCATGTAGCTCGGCCACCAACCTCCGTCATCTAAAGTCTTCCTACTTCATTGCACATATCAAAGGTTACCTGATTTCAAAGGTATTCGTCCATTGTGGGGCAACGGTGAACATTATCCAGTATCTGTCATGAAGGCCCTTTGCTGCTTGAAAGACGAGCTCATTCCATCTAGCATCACCATGATTAGCTTTGTAAGAGACAATCCTCAAACCAAAGGCGTTCTACCTTTAGAAGTCACAATTGTTGGCCGTCCTCACATGACGATGTTTTTCATTGTTGATTCAAAGACCAAGTACAATGCCTTGCTTTTCCATGACTGGATTCACTAGAATAGTTGTATTCCATTATCTCTTTACCAGGTCTTTATTTTTTGGGATGACAAGTCAGCTGTGGTTCATCTGGCTGACAACCGGCCGTTTGAAACTAATATGATTCACACTAGTTATTATGATGAACATGTAGTTAAATTACCTTTCAAGGTTTCAATGATTTGCGATGGCCGACACAGATCTCTGCTAAAAAAGCCATCAAAGTTGGCATCGAAATCATTTAACAGGATTTGATGAGACTTAAATTGGCTGATCTTGTCGATTTTTCCAATGAATAATACAACCATTAGCAATCGACAGGTTGTAGTTTCATGCCTTGTGGAATGTCTACTAGCCTATTCATACACCATTTCAAAAGAACCTTAACTCTGGCATCAACTTAATTGAGTTTCTCACTTAAGGAGAAAACGACATGACTCTTCTGCTCAAAAAGGTCAAAGTAGCTCCAGCCGAGCTCGAAGATGATTAGCCCGAAGTCCATCACCCTTTATGACATACCTGACCCTGACATTCCTCGAACACTAGGGCAGCCACGTGTTGGCTGAAACTCGAAGGTGACGAAGCTATGTTAGGATGCATGAGACTAACGAATATTAATAAATACTTATAAATTAAATGTAATTAATATGCAAATGATGAATGTGTTCAGAGCATACAACTAATCTAGAACACTAAAAAGAATAATATAAAATTGAATGAACAAGAGGATGGGTCTTACACCGATAAGACTTAAAGATTGCCGATGTAGGAATGCCTTGACGCAGGGATTGTACACCTTGATTTTAAGTCCTGAGGGGGCGCAAAACAAACATGAGTGGACCAAGTTGATATATATATATATATATATATAATACTGAAACAGTTATTCAATAACATACTAACCCCCAAAGTTTTATGAAAATTCAATAGTATAATATGTAATAGGTTTTTCCAAAAACCCTAGTATGCCATAAAACCTTTCATCAAACTTGTCTTGTATATACATTGTGTTAAATAGTGGTATCATAATCGACCCGTAGGCCTCTACATCACTCGACCCGTAGGCCCTTACATCACCTGACCCGTAGGCCAAATAAGTTTCATCGCCAGTAGGCAGAATAGTGACCACTAGATGCGCACAAAAACATTGAATATAATCTTTCCAAACATAGGTACATACATCTCAAAACATCTTCATAGTATATAGTCATTCATCATATATACTACAATGAGTGTAAAAACATGTTCATAAATAATATATAGCCATCCTTCATATATACCACAAAGAACATAAATTCGATAAAGTATGGTATTCCAAAATATTCTCAGTAAAGCATGATAATCATAAAGTGTAAATCTAATTTACTCATAAAATGTTTCATAAAATGTAACCATTAAATCATGCTTTTCATGGATGCATTTCTACTATTAAAACATGCATTTTAGAAGGGGTCCACTCATAGATACTCTGTCGTCGATGAGCCGTGCGAAATAGAAAGAACGAAATCGCCGCTAATAAATGCACCTAT